CGATTATACAGCGTAGATCCATCTTTTGCTGAAACTTCTGAAAAACTTGTGGAGGAACATGACCATGTAACCATATCTAAATAACAGCAGTGAAACTTGACATAATTATCAAGGCAACTCATAGTAGAATATTATAAAAACACATGAAAGAGCCTTAAACTAGGATTGTTTAGATTGTGGAACAGCAAAGTAATTTTCTAACTTTGTTTTAAAGCTTCACAAGCAACCTTCTCTTAAGATGAAAAACTGTCTTGTGCAACAAGATATTGTTGCTTTTTTTTCCCCCCTTTGGTTATGATTTTGTTGCATATAATGAAGGACAGCGCACCTCCAAATCTTTTCAAGAGGCATCTTTGGGCAGCAGTACCTACATTTTCTCTCCATGGAGAATACAAAGCCTTTAGTTCTTGTTAAAGGCCCCTTCTCAACTCGCAGTTGTAAAGTGTCTGCCTGTAACACGTTTGGAAATCCTATTATAGTCAAGTCTGAAATAAGTATGATGCTCTTAATTGATATGGACATATGAACATGCAGAGTGGGTGCCATGTCCAGGTACAGACTGGTGAGCGAGCAGGGTGCATGTACAAGGGTACGGCCTGGAACACTGTGGCACGCTTCCTCTGCTCTAAAGTAGTGGCACCCTGAGGTTTTTGGTCACTAAACAGCTATCTTTCATATACTGGAGTAAGTTCTCTTGAATCGCTTGCACCTAGTACTTCAAGAAATAAACAGACTTCTCAGAGATCTATTTTACGGAACTTCTGTGTCTGTGCAAAGGATGTTCCAGGTCCTTAGAGTAACTTCATTTAAAGCAGAAACAAACCCACCACCTAGGATAAAAGCAGGGCTGGCTGGGTTTTTTGTTGAGTGAGGATGGATAGTCTAGTAACAATAGTCTATTGTTCTATCTTTGGCTCTTCCAAGTGTCCTACTATTAAAGCAAGTGCTGAGAGAAGTAGCAAGACACAGTCATCCGTAACAGTCCTAAGCCACATTGAAATATAACTTTCCTATCTTTTAATGATGCTTCGGAGAAAACTAGTTGTCTTTTTTAATTTACCAAAAAAGTGCAATAATTACAGAAATATTAAGAGATAAATGGCTGCATTTTTAAATGCCCTGCAAAAATTAAACCTTTGCGAGCATGTGACAAGCACTTGACTGAGAGCAGATATTCAGCATTAGCATCTGCTATGAGTTACAAAAACATGTTTGGCAGTGCACTAGTTTAAGTCAGAACTTTCAAATATTTTCAATATTCTTTTGACAAGGAGAGTGTTTTTTGTGAAGTGCCTGTGGAAATAACAATCCAAAAGTTGCCTGCAAGCTTAAATAAAGCATATAAAAACACAGTCCATACTTGAAGAGAATAGGTGCTAACTCAACAACTGTATAGATAACTGGTCAACAGTTGCTAGGTGTTGATAGGATTCAAAGGCAAGATCAAGTTTGAGAAAGGAGTATTATATTGCTTTTGAGAGTTTACTGTGTTAATTAAACTTCCAGTGTTGCTTGGCCTTAACTCTGTAACTTGGTTGTCTTTCAAGAAAAATGAGTTAATTTGGACTTTTTTTAAAAAAAACAAACACTCCTTTTAATGAGTCTTTACTCTGGTAGGGTTTTTTGTTTGCTTGTTACATGGAGGTTTTTCTACCTGTTAGAGTCGAGTCACCAAATGCTTTGATTACTCAGTTTAGGGCAAAACAGTTTGAGGAATGGATTTTCTTTAAGTGCAGAATTAAATGGGGGTAGTTTTTATTACACTGATACTAGGACTGAGGAGGAATGATTTCCATGGAAAGCATTATAGTGCTAAAACTTGTATATGTAAGTTACTTGGGGTGTGCAGATTAGTAGTAACGTACTTGGTTATATTTTGCTGTTAATTTTATGCTTTAAAAAGAGGCTATTTGGTTCTAATTTTAATTGGAAAAACTGACTTTGTTGCAACAAAATTTTATTTTTAAGTAGAAACATCCATTTAATGATACTTCAGAGAAAAGTTTACATTTAATCAGTAAACTCACTTAAAACTATGAAAGTAGTTTCAATTCTATCAAAATTAATGTGAAATTTAATCTCTGGGCAACCTAGAATTGGCCATATGCCACTGAAACCAATCTTTCAACTGCATATGGAGGCAAGGAGAGAATTTCTTTATCTAGTGCTACTTCTCAACTAGACTGAGAAGGAAGTGAGGCTGGATTACTCTTCTGTAAAAAAAAAAAAAAAAAAAAATAGGCAAAACCGGTAATGTTTCAGCTGTGCTGAATAGCTTAGCTGCTTATTTTCAGACTGCAGAACTTAAACTTTTGTTGAGACTCAGATTAAAATGTCTTTGGATCAGATAAATTTTCACCTTTGTCTTTCTGTATTTTTCTAACAGATGCATTTTATTGGTGTACATTGTAATTAACCACCGAATTTCTGCCAAATATGGACAAAAAAGCTGCATTCTGTTCTGCCGATTCAGATCTGTGATCTTAGTTTTTCTACTTTTTCATCCATGGCTAGTAAAATATCCATTTGCTGTTTATGTTAAAGAGATTGCATCCCGTTGCCTTAATTGCTTGGCAGAAAACTGACCTTGACCATTTGAAGCTTTATGTATTTCTAAAATTCCTGTAACTTCTGTATAACTGCAATAAAACCTTTTTAATATAGTCCAGCTACTATTTTAAGAGCTACTTGTCACTATCTTTACTGAATGTTCAACTATTAAAAAAAAAAACAAACCACCCTTTTTAATGGGTAAGCACTGCTTGTTCTTTGCATTTTTATTTTTTGGGGGTCACTTTAAAGGTGGTGTACTTGTGTTTTGCCCACAGTGCTTTTCTCTGTTAGTGAAGGAGTATGAAGAGCGTTTACTAAAATCACTGATGCTGCAGCAAATGGTTTGGAAGACCACGCAGTAGCATTTTTCAACATCTAATGACCTTTGTAAGGATTAAATTTTAGGTTGATCAGCTGGAGGAAGTACACTAAGGTGTATTTCACAGAGTTGGGGAAATTACCTGGAAACCAGTTAGGGTTTTTTTGGTTGTGTTTTTTTTTTTAAATGGGGAAGGACAAGAACTAAAACCATCTACTCCTCTAAAATTTAGGTCCAGCTCTGAGGACCCTCTCTGTGCTGTCCTGCATTTGCCAAGCAGTTACTTAACCTAGAGCTAGGACATTGTTCCAGGTTAGTCCTTGGTTATGAAAAGAGAAAATTTTGGTGTATTACCGAGAACTGCCAGCTTTTGTATTTGGGAAGGGGAAGAAGGATCATCTGTATTTCCTTTCCTTCTAAGGCCCAATAAAAATAGATTTTTGCATAAGGGGCATTTGAAAGTAAGTTCTATGAGGCTGTGAGGAACAGTCACATTTTTTTACATTGCTTATGTTTAATGAAGTCTTTTAAACTTGGACCAAGTCCAAGCAGAGTCAGGTTTTGACACGCACCCCTAACGGCCCCCGCC